TAAGTTTAATAATTAAAAATAACTTCTTATACTCTCGCGATATACTATCTATTAACGAAGTATATTTAATAATTAAAGAATACTTTAAATATAATATTAATATATAATACGCGAACGATTTAACTCGAAGATATTATTTAATACTAGTTACTATAATATTAGATTATAAGAAATAAATAATAATTATTTTAATCTTAAGTGATAGATATTATTTTATATATATAATCTCACCTATAGAGAGAAAGTAATTATATTTTTTAATCTTATATTCTAAATAAATATTTAAGTGTATAGCTAAGTAGCTAAGATTATAAAAGAGATATATTAAAAAGATATTAAAATACTTATAAGATATAATACTTTATAACCGTCATTCTTTTATCGACGACTACTTTACTATTAATATATATTAGCTATAATACTTCGATATTCTATACTTCTTAATAATTAAAGAATTTATAGATTATTTATTTAAATAATAGATTAAATATATTAAAGCTATAAAGATAGAGAATAAAACGAATAAGCTTCTTAATACTCGCTTTTAAATGATTCTTAATTATATTAATTTAAAACGTATTAAGTCTTTAAATAAGAAGATATAGTAAATAAAAGAGAATAATTAAATCTTATAGAGGACGATAATAGTTATCTTTATATCGATCTTAATTAAATTAAATTTAAATACGCTATATATAAATCGCGCTATTCTTAATCTTATTATATTAGCGAGATATTATTTTTATAATAATAATATTATTCGATATCTACTCGCGGTCTTAGCTCGAATTAATCTATTAAAAGAGATTTTTTAAATATATAAATCTCTAAATAAAACGATAAATAAAGATTATTTTAACTTCTTAAAGTTTTATAGTATTAATTATTTACTCGAAATAATATAATTATTTAATTTACTCGATAAATTAATTACTTAAATAAGAGAAAAGATATATATTAAATTCTTTAAAAAGTATTATAAACTAATAAATAAGTATAATAACTATATTAAATAGATTATACGTTATAATATTATATATTAGAAGATAATTATAATATATAATCTCGTTAAGTATTAAGATATAGAAGTATTATTATTTATAATTAAGAGATTATAGAAGAAAGAGAAGAAGATTAAGATAAGAACTTTTTTAGATCTTTATATTTAAAGTTAATAAACGAATAATAAGAAGCGTAATATTATAAGATAGATTTATTATTATAATAGTCGTTATTAGCGATTAATAGAGACTATTATTAAATAATTAAAGTTAAATATTTTTTTTAAAACTTTAATCGCCTTTATTCGAATAAATCGAATAAAATTAAGAGAATATTATTTATTTAAGAGAGATAATAATATTAATATATATAAGGCGAACTATAAATAAATATATCGATATTCGATTCGTATTTATTTTAATATTCGATATTAAAAGGCTCTTAAGAAGAATTCTCTAAATATAGCTCGTTTATTTAAAGATATTGTCGTCTATAGACTTATTAATTAACTCTTTTAAAAAAGATAATATAGAGATTACGCTTAAGTCTATAAATATAATTAATAGATCTTTAATATTAATAAAGTTCTTTTAGAAAAATTAATAAAGAAAGTATTAATCGTAATAAAAGTGATAAATTTAGTTTATAGAGATTTTAGATAAAGATTAACTTATCTATAAAGTATTTTTATAAAGATATTTAAGTATTAATATAATAAATAAGTTTAGAAATATTATAATATAATAAAAGTAGAAAGAGCGTAGTTATTAATAGCGCGAAATCTAAGAACTCTTAAAAAATAATAATTCTATAATCTTATAAATATTGAGAGAAATATATATATTATACCCGCGTCGATAAAAGATAAGAAATTTTATTATATTAATAGCTTTATCGACTTTAATTAATATAATAATATCTATAATTCGAATTTTTTAAATAAGAGTTATAGAGTAATAAAGGAGATTAATATACGCTATACTATAAGATAATAGAGATATTAAGAATCTAGATTTTAGAATATTAAGAATAAGATTAAATATATAATAGATAAAATCGATCTTAATTACTCTTTTTAATTTAAATATCTTTCTTAATTTAGATATTTTTCTTAACTCGAATATTCTTCTTAACTTAAATAACTTTTAAATTATTTTTAGAGTTTATTAAGCGAAGAGGGGTTTTATAATTATAGAATATATATATAAATATTATAATTAGAAAGAGAGAGAGAGGGCGAGCTCTTCTTTAGTTAGAGAGATATTAATATACTTTAGAAAGTATCTAGCTAAGTATTCTAATATCGAAGATTACTATTAGATTAATTCGCGATTTCTTATAATTTAAAAAATGTTATCGTCTATAACGAGGGCTATTATCTAAAGTTTTCTTAAGTTATTAATAGTCTATATAATAATATTAGAATCGAGATATATTATTCTAAAAATATAATAAATTAAAAGAAAGTTTTAATATAAGCTATTATAGGGGGTATAAGATAATAAGAATTATTAATAGTCTATATAATAATATTAGAATTAAAGTATATTATTTTAAAAATATAATAAATTAGAAGAAAGCTCTAACGTAAGATATTATAAGAAGAGCTAATATCTATTTTTTTTTTTTTTAAAATTTTAAAATTTAAAATTAAATTTTTTTTTTTTTTTTTTTTTTTTATTTTTTTTTTTTTTTTTTATTTATTATTTTAAATAAAATTTAAATTATATTTTTTTTATTAAATATTAATTTTTTTTTTTTTTTTTTTTTTTTTTTTTTTTTTTTTTTTTTTTTTTTTTATTTTAATTTTTTTTTTTTTTTTTTTTTTTTTTTTTTTTTTTTTTTTTTTTTTTTTTATTTTTTTTTTTTTTTTTTTTTTTTTTAATATTATTTTTTTTTTTTTTTTTTTTTTTTTTTTTTTTTTTTTTTTTTTTTTTTTTTTTTTTTTTTTTTATTTTTAATTTTATTTTATTTTTTTTTTTTTTATTTTATTTTTATTTTTTTTTTTTTTTTTTTTTTTTTATTATTTTTAAAAAAAAAAAAAATTTTTTTTTTTTTTTTTTTTTTTTTTTTTTAAATATTTTTTTATTTTTTTTTTATTTTTTTTTATTTTTTAATTTTTTTTTATTTTTTTTATAATTATTTTTTTTTTTTTAATTTTTTTTTTTTTTTTTTTTTTTTTTTTTTTATTTTTTAATTTTTTTTTTTATTTTAAATTTTTTTTTTTAATTTGGGAAAAGGGTTTAAAAAAAAAAATTTTTTTTTTTTTTTTGGGTTTTTTTGTGTTTTTTTTTTTTTTTTTTTTTTTTGTTTTTTTTTTTTTTTTCCCCCACCAACCGGGATCAACAATTTTAAATTTTTGGGGAAATTTTTTTTTTTTTTGTTGGGCTGGGGGTCTTTTTGGGGTTCTTTCTCGAGGCTTTTTTGGGGTTTTCTTTTTAGTTTTCTTTCGAGAATTTATGACGGATAATAACTAATACTACGATCAAATATTTTATAAAGTTCTTCGTCAACTAAAAAAAAAAAAAAAAAAAAAAAAAATTCTACGGGACTTTCCGCGGAATTACGGTGTGCTATATTGATAAAACGTTTTTTACTTCTTTTTTTTTTTTTTTTTTTTTTTCCTCTGCCTTTAGGGCCTTTGGGTTCGATGGTCGCTAGGCTTCGCCGCTCTCGCGGGTCTAAAGATTAAGAATATTTTAGCTAAGCTAGTGACGTAGTGGGTGAGCAAGCGAGGCCGAGTGTCAAGGGAGCGCCCTTGGAGTAAGGACGAATCCTCGGGCAAAGAAGAGAAAGCAAGAAATTAACATCGGGAAATCGGGGCTGCTGAAAGACACAAGGGGCAAAGGCTGAGGGAGCGACGCGGACAATATACAGACATCTTCGCGTCCCCGCTTTTCCCTTGTGAATAACGCTCGCAAGGTAACGCCGAAAGACTCCGTACCTGCATCTCAATCAAATCATAGATTTACACTGTCAACGCACAAAGTCGAACGGTTCCATTGTTCTATGGACACCAGCTTTCGCACTTCAGAGAAGTCCAAGCCGCGCAATGCATCACACCACAGCACATCCGATCCGACAACAGCTACTATCACACCCCACGGAGGTCGTCTCTTCCTTCTGTCAAACTGTGCCGAGTAATCAATCTCGGTAGCGGCAAGAGCAGCAAGTTGACGGAGTAGAGCCGCTTCTCTCCCGTGTGAGATTGGACGGATTGTCTTGTCACACGGTCAGTGAACGATTGGGATTTCTAGATGGATAGATAGTCTCCCAGTGATCTTTGATCGTATTCCTAGCCGATGCGGTACCCTCACTTCTTATTGATTGTAGGCCAGGCTCAATGGCGGAGGTAGTATTAACAGACCGATCGAAGTCCAATGGCGAATCCCAATCGTTCCCACCGTCCCGCTCATTCTCAGACCCATTTCACATCCCTTCTCACATGACTTCTCCTTGAAAGGAGGCCACGACAGATCATCCAAATATCCAGTCGCCGTTAAGCTCAGAATGCGTGTCTTGCCAGCAACAATGTCGAATTGCAATCTGGTCTTGTCGTGCCGAAGTCATGCTTATGGCAACCCACACAGCAGCTAGCCAGCGTGACACCGCTCGCTTCAAACCTCTCTAGCCCAATCCTCTGCAAGGCCCACGTGCAGCATGCATCGAATCGATCCTGACGATATTTATGCTCCGAAGTGCCCAGAGATACATGTCCCAGGGTGATATCCGCGTGCTGCTTATAGGATAGTAAATGTGCTATTTAGACTGGGCTCTCCGTTACCCGTTCTTGAGCCTGCGCTGAAAGAGCCGTCGATAGTTTGCCCTGTCATTCCTTTCGGATCAGGCAAAATTTGCCCATACGACGGTGTTCATCTGACCTAGCCCTTGTGCTAGCCAAGAGCGTGACATTGCGTGGATCCCAGCAGATCAGGAAGCGGTAGGGCTTGCGAAAATTCACCATGCGAAACGCAATAGACCACCATGACGGAAGTTGTCTACTTGTCTCGTCCTTCCACCAACCTTTCGTCGTCCTGTTTTCTCTCAGGCCTGCCGAATATGAGGCGCCACACTGATCTGCGCACTGGATTGTGGTTTTGTGTCGCGGATACGGCGCCGTTCTCATCACTCGGGAGCAGGTCCGTCGCGCTGGCCTTGCGAGATGTACGAGAAGACGTGGTATCGTCTTCACCCTCTCGTTTTTTTTTTCTCCTCAACCTTAAAGCGTTGTGCTCCATGCGCTCGTAAAGCTCCGGAGGATTGATGAGCAGCTTGACGTGCTGCCGGATCCGATCATCCTTCTCCTTACGTTCTTTCTTGCGCGTGTCATCGATGCGCTCATCCACCGTCTTTGGCTTTTCCTTCTTATTTGTTTTCTCTCCCCGCGGAACAGGGTCTGTCGATTCCCGGTCATCGTCTTTCGCTCCGTCCTGCTCTTTGGCCTTTTCTTTGGCCTTGGCTTCCGCCTCGGCTTCGGCTTTGGCGTCAGCTTCGAATTTCTCCCTGAGGTGATCATTTTGCTTTTTGTTACTCTGCTCTTGGACCTCATTCCATCGTCTGAGTGGCACTGTCCAGACCTTGGTCAGGGTCCAGCAGAGTAGGCTCCAGATTACCAAGATAGTCCAAGAGACCACGAACACTGGCGATAATATGAGTGCAATGAAAATCCGCACAACAGCTAGGGTTGCATGATATGGAGAACCGGCCTCAGATTTCGTGACTGATTCGTATGCGAGCACAATACGAGATGCTGGAAAGTCAACGAAGAAGTAGACGACCAAGAATAGAAGATAAACGAATTTGCTCCTCGGCCATTTCGGCATTTCATGATCGTGTAAGATGTCATGCTCTTCAGCATCTTTGATGTGATCCAGAGTCTTTTCCCAAGTCACTGGGAATGTGTTGGGTGTTCTCCCCATTCTTTCTCGTGCACTGCGGCTTACGATGTACCTGAGTCTTCGAATTGGCCATGCAAGAATTTCAGCATTGAAAACCATCAGTAGCGTGATCACCAATGCAATCGCAGTAGCTTGAAGGAAGAGCGGAGTCGTGATGTGGTTGCTTGATCAATCAGTGGTTAGCACAGTTGCAAGCGGGGAGAGTACTCACGGCGGGCCTTGCATGCTGAAAAGACTCTAGAGTTGAGCAGTCAGTATACACCTAAACGTTACAAATGGACAACAGAAGTGGACATACTGCCACGAAGCTCAGCGGATAAAAGATCACCGTGGCGTAGGTAAATATTCGAATGTTTTCCGACTCATGTGCTGCAGTCCGCGATTCAGCAAGATTGATATTGTTGATCAGCTGCAATGTGTTAGCGCTATACTAGTTCTCTGCCTTCGCTCGCCCCTGAATTACCTCTTGCCGATGAGTTCTGACTTGCTCGATGGAATCCTGAATCCGTCGGAATTGGTCATTTACCCGAGAGATTTGTTGCTCGGCACGTCGTTTCTGGAAGTCGATCAGCTCTCGAAATTTGAATTCGTCCTTCTCAGACCACCGTGGTTGAAAACTTCGGGTTTGTTCCCGCTTGGCCCATTGGCTGAGAGAGTCAACGTTTGCTTTGGATAGACGACGAAGTATACGAAGGGTAGCGTCAAGGTCAAGACAGATGGCGGACCGATTATATTGTACATCCACGAATCGGTCATCGGCCTTGGAAACTTTCGGCTGAGTCAATGCCTTTCCGTCTTCCGAGACATCTATCTCTGGATTGAGCCAATCGTCAATAGTTTTGAGAATTTTATCGGTGCTTTGAAACAGCTCGGCCACCATTTTCTCCACGAGGAAGGGCTCAAGAACCTTCCTCTGGTCTATCTTCCTGTCTTCATGAAACCATTCTTGTATATCTCTAAAGCCATGGTAGTCATCGGCTTTTGGGAGAATCTCCGAATCTGCGGGAAGATGGGTCAATAGATAGCCGGTCCAGAATTTGTCACCCATATCTCCAACGAAACGATAACTCAGTGACGCTTTTTTGAGAAAAGCGCGTTTCGAGCCCTTGAATATCTGGGGGAAGGCTCGTTGATGCCTGTCACAGACATGATCACTTCTTGCTTCTTCTTCAAGATTTTCCTCGTTACGGGGGTCTTCCGGAATATAGGTACGCGGTTTCTCTTCCATGTTGGCCAGTTGGAAAAAGCTGAGGTGAAGTTCAGTTGTCCATGCGTCTGCAAGAGGATGGACCTAGTAAGTAGCTTTTGTCAATCACAGGAGTACAGATAGGGCTGATCAGCAGACATACATCTTCATGTATATGGCTTGAATAACTGCTGTGACGTATGTAGAAACGTGCCATATGGTGCCTCTCTTTCCTTGGAGTCGCCAAATAAAGCATAAGGGCGTGTTCGACTTCCAAGGGTCCAAGAAAGCTTCCGAGACTTAGCTAAAGGGTAGGTTGAATGGGCTATCTGGACATACTGAAACCTCTTCTTAGCGTCATGTATGCTGCGAGCTCGACGAAGGTGACCGTCTAGGTCTTCCGCATCATACCAGTCAATATCTGGGTCGTTTCGTTTGTGTTGACCTACGTCGACAACAACAGCGCTGTAGTTGCCAGCGCTAAATGATTTTTCCTGGCTCCACTTCTCAAACCCTCTGGCTAATATACTTTTGAACTTCGTTCGATGATTATCAGTTAGGCGATTCTGAAGATCGATCTCGAGACGGTGCTCCATTCCATCGTATTCTTCCTTCATGGAGTCGTAAGGAGGCCGCTTAGTGATGAAGTCCGGGTAGGGATACAACCACTCTTTTGCCCGTCTCTCTAAAGAAGAAAGCCCAGAATAAGCCACATGATCGAGCGCGTGCCGTGGTACATCGATGACATGGGAAACGAATTGGAATACCTTTTGGGTCAGACACCTGCTTGAAGTCCACCTTCTTGTGGGAGCTTGTTCTCCTCTTCTCTAGAATAACCTTTTTCATCAGGGCAGACCTCATTTTCTCAGAGATACTACCGTCTGGCGGCTGAAAAGACATTGTTTTCCTCTCTGTAGTTCCTCGCTTGGTATCTTCATCCTCATCTTGAGACGCAGATTCTTCGCGTGGGACTGGGAGCGTTACATCTCTTAATCTATTGAGGGAAGATCAACATCCTACCTGAATTCAAACAAAGTATGGAGAGTACCGGAAGGTGAGGACTTACATCTCGAGATCCAAATTCTTGAACCTTCTGACCAACATCAGTGTCGCTAGCTCCCATGTCGCCCAAGGACTGTGTGGTTTGTCAGAAGAGTACAAGGGTCTCAACAATCGTGGAAGCTTTGTGTCCCGGTCCAGCTGATTAGCAAATAGCCCATGAGACATAACACATCTGGGAAGCCTCTTCCAAGAAAGCTCTGCAAGCTCGTCTGGGGATTTGGAGTCGTCCAAGGATATATGATGACTCGCCATTATAATGGCCAATGCATACCGAAGTGGTTTCTTCCAGGTGGTCTCATGGTCAATGCCTTGTGCCTGCATTGTCTTCTGCCATGAAAGCTGTACATCCACCTTTGTGGGCTCATTCTTTGCGCTGTACGCCTCGAATTGGATGTCATTCTTGAAGAAATCCCACGTGATACCATCATGAAGCATCGAGTCTTTGGCATAAAATAGCCGTCTGTCCCTCTCGCGAGACCGCCGTACAGCAATGGCAAAAGACACGGGAGCCGATCCGTTCTTTGCCACAGCATGTCCAGGATCTCGCCGGTTCGAACGATCGACTATATGATTACTATTAGTAGAACGAGCGTCTTGAGGTTGATATGCAAAGCACTGCAGAATGGTTTCTCGTACGTCGTGGGCTCGTAACTTCAAGTCCTCCAGTCGTTCCAGAGTGTCTGGTGAGTCGTTTGTATCATCTTTGAATTCAACCGACATAGCTTCTAGGGACTTGAGGGCCTTCCAGGTGTAGATGAGATCTCCTAAACGATATTCCGGAAAATGGAGCCATTCCGAACCCTCTCCGCGACGGCCCCCCCATGCGATATAGGTCTTCCTTGTGTCTTTGTACCATAGTCTCGACCTCTCATCTCGTTCTGCATCCAGCGCGTCAAGCCACAACTTAGTTCCCATTTGTAAACATGCCTTCACCAGCTTCCCTTCTCCTTCGAACACTCGAGAGAATTCGGACAGCTTGAGCATTTGTAAGCTTCCAACAAAGAACTGCGCACTCGGTTTCTCGTCTAGTTTGTTGTTGTCACTTTCTGTTTTTGGAGAAGCAGGCCAGCTCTGACGGGCCAGAAAGACACTCTCTTCGAAGCACCACCGCAAATGCCCTATACAGGCTTCCTTGATGCGAGCTTGCAATTCAGCTTTCTCAAAGCTCGAGGCATCTTTGTCCCGATTCTGACATATGGGATGTGTGGAGATATAATCATCTTTCTTTAAGAGTTGGTACATGAACAGGAGATAACGGAAGATATAGCTTTCGAGGTCAGCATTCTTATGACACTGATCTGGTGATGAGCATTCGAGAACGACTTACAAATCACCAAGCGGTGTCGATTCTGACTCCAACGTGATGTCGTTCATGAATGGGATGCGACGTTCTTCGCCTGGGCCAGGCGTAACATCAACCAGGCAAAGACACAAGATGTGTTCGAGATACCTTCTGAAAATTGAGTTGAGTTCATGGTCTTCCTTGAAAGACCAATTTCTGGACTGGTCAGTCTTCAGGAAAGTCTCCACATCCAGACGATTTGGACTCCGAGGCTCTTCACCGCTATGGGATTGCAATTTGTATTGCAAGACAAGCTTTTGAACCCCTTTGGAGGGAATCCGAAGGACTCCGGAAGAAGCTGACGGGGCTGTTTGGTCAGACTTGCTTTGGGTGTCGCCATTTAGGCCGTCGCTATCCTCGTCATCGCTGTCAGTATCATAAGGATTACGGATAGGAACCGAAGCTGTACCATCCAATTGGAGGAGTTCGCCATTGTGGAAGACTGCGATCACAGCCTCGCCTTTTACGGCATTTGTTACGGTAATACCATCTTGTTGCAAGGGCTCATCAGGACTTCTTTCACGCTCTCTTTCTACTATACTGTAGGGGCCACTTGCGTTTGACCGAAGCACAGGTTCCGACTCATCCGGAAAAGTGTCGTATTCGTCAGGGTTTGCCCACCGGCCATGTGCGACGCGCAGGGTTCTGACTGTGGCACCTCGGATCTGAAGCGCAAAGCGGACGGCTTTATTCTCATTAGAAGCGTTCTCGATGGTAAAAGGAGTTACTTGTATAATGAGACTGATCACTAGATATGGTATTCTTAATGATGTCTGTGTCTAAAGAAGAAGAATCCTATGTACAGAGAAGGCCTCATATACTAATGTACAGGCCGAATGAGTACTAGCGTAAGCAGTAAATACCTGGGTATGCAATTACTTGTATAATGAGACTGATCACTAGATATGGTATTCTTAATGATGTCTGTGTCTAAAGAAGAAGAATCCTATGTACAGAGAAGGCCTTTATATACCAATGACTAGGCCGAATAGTACTAGCGTAAGCGAGTGTTGAGTTATCGACACTGGTAAAAACCGAAAAAGATGAGGCTATTCGCATGCTATCAAAACATTACTTCTTCGAATCCTTCTCCGCAATGCTTTCCATGACTGCAATTGCTCCCTTTGCTGTAGTGGGCGTAGATCCGGTTATGCTAGGCGTATTTCTAGTAGCAATGGGAGAAAGATGGACCCTTATGACCAAATCCCTGGACAGCTACATCAAGAATGCACCGTCCATATACTTCATGCACCTATCCTTGGCCTGTAGCCTTCGCTTCTCCGTATAGCCGAGCGGAGAGGCGAGCCAAGAGGCGAGAAAATGAGATGCTGGGAGGCGAAAAGTGGAGCGAGAAAATGAGTATGCTGGGAGGCGAAAGGTGGATTGAGATTGCTAAGCGAGAAAGTAGGCTCTTTGAGGGTCGATATAGTGCGCGAACGTGAAACCGTAGAGAGTTGGCTCGTGTTGACAGGGCTGCTGTCTTGAATGACTTGGTAGGGTAAGGGTAGTAGGTGTGGGACTCGGTAATCTGGGCCGCAGTTTGTGGTGGGGGGAAGGAGCGCAGTGGTATCCTCAGGCTGTTGTTGTTGAGGCTGAGTGGAGGGCCGTCGCTTGAAGTGGGGGAGGGTGGACTGGAGTGGTATCCTCGACAATTGGAGTGGGGGAGGGTGGACTGGAGTGGTATCCTCGACAATTGGAGTGGGGAGGGTGACTGGGTGGTATCCTCGACAATTGGAGTGGGGAGGGTGGACTGGAGTGGTATCTTCGACAATTGGTTGATAAGGTGGCTGCGGGGAGAGGAGTAGTATTCTCTGGGAAAGGCGGTTGCGGGAGAGGAGAGTGTTCTCCGGTCGATAAGGCTTTGTTCCTGCATTGGTTGAACCGGTTGCTGTGGCTGAATGGCTGTTGCTAAGGAGGGTAAGATTAGGATTACTTTGATGGAGGACGTTCTTCGTCGTTCGGTGGCCATGGGTCGTTCGGTAGCCATAAGATATCTTCCTAAATCACATTTGCCAGTGCTTGGGCTATGGAAATCCCTCTCCCTTTTTGAACATAGGCTCCATTGGCCCGTAGGCAATCTCGTAGGCTGGTAATGACGTCCTTGCTAAGAACCTCGAAGTCCTCTCTGACGTATTGGGTAAAGTCGTCAGCAAAGACGTCAGAGAGTGTCCTAAATTTGTATATTGTGTATTGTTGTACCCTCCAACGAACGAATTCCTCGAGCTTCTCTTTAGTATCTGGTGCTTGGCTCCTTATAGTCCATCTAACTCACGCTTGGTCATGGTGCCTGGCGGTGTCTCTGAAGAATCAGGTTTCTTGTCTTTGGAGTCCATTTTGGGTGTGTGTTATGTGTTAATGTGGTGTGAAGCCTAGTGGTATTTGATGTTTTCTGAGTGTTTTCTCTGCTGAGTAGGAGTCGTAGGAATTGTAGAAATTGTAGTTCTATTCAATCGAATCGTCACAATAAGCGGAATCGATTAAGTAACATAGAACCGTGTGAAGCTATCGCGGCGATATCGGGGCGGACTTCCTTCAAGAGTATGGCCTGCTAATCTGTTACTAGTATTGAAGTACACTGATCAGTGTTGGTAAATACCTGGGTATGCAGTTACTTGTATAATGAGACTGATCACTAGATATGGTATTCTTAATGATGTCTGTGTCTAAAGAAGAAGAACCTATGTACAGAGAAGGCCTTCATATACCAATGTACTAGGCCGAATGAGTACTAGCGTAAGCGAGTGTTGAGTTACCGACAGTTCTCGATGGAAAATTGCTGTGACAGGACCCCTTCATTCACTGTGAAGAGGACCGAGACGAGAACACCGTCGATCTCATAGTGAATGCATGGCCAGCGACCGTTGATCCATTCGAGTGGTGTCTTGATTGGGTCTTCGACTTTTGAATCGGCCATTAGGCGAATGCTGAGTCCACTCTTTCGTATTTGCGCTCGCCTTTGCATCCTAGCACCAAGTCCATTCAGATAACGTCTGTCCATACTTATTCCTGGGCTGCTGAGACAGATCACGCGAGGATTGTCATCAGCAATATATTTTGACATCCTTAAAACCTCTCCATATGGACTTATTATCACCAATGTGCCGTCAACTCCAAAAGGTATGAAAGATCGAGTACTTTTGTCTGAGGGTACGACGAGCCGTTCGACACCCTCGAGGCCGCATAGGTTGGCTTTTGTCACTGGAGGCTTTTGAGATATGCTTTCACCGGTCTCCGTGCCGAGAGAGGCGTTCTCATCGAATGCCATGGTAGGGTACACTGTTTCTAGTGCTTCCTATAGGCACTCCTTCAGCTGAGCTTGAGGATAACTAGGAGAACTGCGATGGGCGACGGCTACTTAAGGTCTCAAGCTAGTCGGGCCTCCAGGTACGTGGTCCAAATGCACTGAAGAGAACTGTGGTGAGTGCCCCCTAGCTCAGACAGCGGAGCAGTAATCTATACTGCACACTGTTGAGCGAGGTTCGAAATCATAGAGGCTACAGAAGAATGTGGGGCAGAAGAAATTTATATAACTTATGACTCCGAAGTCGTAGAGCAGGCCATGAACACGAGCGCAATGGAGAAACGGCAGGGGAGATCATGAAAAGACGCCGCAGATTCGAGGTTGTCTCTTCAGCCTCGTGCTAAAACAGCCTATGCATCATCGTGCAGCCTACGCGGCGAAACTGAGAGCGGCTCCTCTTGCTCACGAGCCTCACTCTGTAGGATACATCAATGCGCAGGGATCCAGCTCCTCTTTTAGAGAATGTATGACCCATCTCAGCAGAAGCGAGAAAATTAGAGAAAAAACTTCCAAACAAAGTGGCGATAGAATGGAAGCAGATGGAGCGCAATTGCTGCACCAGTGTCAGCCTGTACAATGTTGTACATGTAGATAACAAAGCCGTGGCCGAATGACCTCGGCTCGCGTAATTCCTACTAGTTCCCGCGTCGCGCCAGCGGAGAGGTTCCTCTAGGGCTGATACTTTAGAGGTTGGGGCCTGGGCACAATTCTCTCGGCTTGGCCGTGCGGCTTCTAGCCTCGATGACGCCCCACCAATAGCCCCCGTCGTTGTCGCGTGCGTCCTCACTTCCAATGACTTTGATTTTTGTTCATCTCAATTCTATACTTGTTCATGATAACATTCCTTTACCAGCTCGTGCCAGCATTTCTCTGTCCTCCTAGCGACCTCGATCAAGGCAGCTCCCGTACCCTCCCTTTAATGGCGGACCTTTTTATGTCAAAGCTGCAGTGGTGGCACCGAGGCCGCAATGCGGGCAGCTATATACATCATGAACGATAACCTCGACGGCACCGGAGGAAGGCTTGGGCCATGTTTACCCGCTGATGATATTCCTGGGAGCTAGCTTGGCTAGTCAATAGTCGCTTTCCTGAGAGCGACGTTGGGGTTCGAGCAGGAGATTATGCGCGAAGGTTGGCAAGCCATTATCATTCTGAGGGGCGACGGCCGCTGACAGAATCGCGTACACTAGCTTCCGACAGACTTGCAGATGCAAAAGTCCAAGCATGGAAAGATCACAGCCGAGCGCAGCAAGATCCTAACTCCTTCCGATCTCCAACATGCCCTCCGGGCTCTAAACAATATTGATGGCGGCAATTGCTGGTGTCTTGAATGAAAATCTCACCAAAAGGATCAGAGGCTTCTATAATCTGAGGAAGGCTTGCATGACACTCGATCGTATGATCTGGCTGTGGAGGCAAGATACACCAGTAAGAGTGGTACCAGAGCAAACACACTTGGGAGGAAGTCTATGGATTCTCTAGGATCGGACAGATCTGCCGCGTCATTAAAAGGTATACCAGGAGGCTTTGGAGGCTTTGGAGGCTTTGGTGATGGAACATCATCTCGAGGATCCTTTAAGCCGTCATATGTACGGTCGATAGAGATACTCATCGGAATTATATATCCACGGCTGAAAGAGGTCTGAAGACAGAGGTCCACAGAGTAGTAAACGAGGATGCGAGTGGATTTAATGACGCTGACGAAAGCCATGAAAACAGTAAGACGCCAGGCTACAGTGCGATTGTTGAAATAGACGGCGCCAGTGAACATATGGCCCAAATTCCTGAACCAAAAGCGTGCCTGTAAAGGGAATGTGGCGGAGGCAGCGAAAAGGGGGTCTCTTTGCCGGTTCGGGAGTCAGACGTCAGTACCATTCAATGTGCCTCTAATCAGGGGCATATATTGATGGACTAGCTCTTCCTCAATTGCATCTAACTAAGCGGCGATATAGCCCAATTTGTGCTGAACATTGCCTCGAGTAAGAAGAGAGGTCGTTGAGCTTGGTTTACCTCGGATTTAGCAAAGGAAAATCCGATAACCTCTCGTCTCCACCCAGACGTTCGAGCCTGGCATAACCAAGGGGTTTAATAATGACACCGAGCATAGCGAATTTGCAGTATCCAAACGGCATGCTCTAACAATACTCTGATATTCCCAATCAGTCCGTCACAGGCCAACGAGTCTCAGTAGTAATTTGCGAGATACAAGTAACATTCTATGATGTGAATGGCATAATGGCAATAGGACCAATGGATCCGCGCGTCAGTCAGTCGTATTGATTACCGAGAAATGGAACCTCATTGCTCCCGGGAGGCAAGTGAGTTTGTTTATCCCGTCTTCTTTAGCCCCGAGACCCAAACTCCCTCGGATCACATATGGTAAGCTCGTTAAGAGGCAGATATCTGAAGACTTGGATACTTCAATACTTAAATACATCCAGAGACTTGGCGACAAATCTCCCCCACCATTCTGCAGATTACGTAGTCTGGAAACGTCCACTGACTGACTGATGGCGTGGTGCCACTTTTGAACCACCGTTTGAGCAAGTTCATCTTACGTTGTCTGCAGCCAAGTGGAATTCAACCTGCAGCTCTCTCCCTACCATTTCCTGACTGGTGCTGAGAATTTTGATGAAACGCATCTTGCATAGGCGTCCACTCACCAGGTTTCAAACACACAGCGTTTAGCGCATGGACTCGGAACTTGGAACTTGACCAGCCAATCCTCCTCTTTATGCCGTTATGCTTCACCAAGGGTTAGCCTGCTGCTCCTAACACTATCAAGTTGAATTGATCCTTCATGCCATGTAATTCTGTTCGCTGGAAAGGCAGCGGCAGCCTCGTCGCACAACTTGCAAGATCAAGAGCTGCTTCGATGTTCAAAATGCTCACGGAATTTTTGAGCGCTCGGATGAGAGGCAGGAGCTGAAATTTCGGAATGTATGCCTACTTGACATCCCAAGGCAGATTATGGAGGCTTAGCGGCTCTTCCAAATCCTTTGGGCCGTTCCCAGTCTTGCACTGCTGCTTATGTCTCACGGCTGGCTCGCAGAATACGTACGTGGTTCCTTTGCGCAACCTCCACTTTCGGGCAAGGCTACCATCATGAGCCCGCCTCACCTTCTGGCACGGCTAGGGCAAAACTTGACGGATGAGGTTGGAAGTCGCTCTCGTACTTGATTCCATTCCCTCTCTCCTCAGTTAGTTCCTTTCTATTGCTAGAGATCAACTTACGCTCTCTCAACATGAGTTCGCGATCTCCGCATACCGCTTCGTTAATGCAGAGCGGCTCCGGTGCTCATGTGAAGCCGAAGTTCAACGGGAAGCCTGGCATCAGCCTGAAAACCCCACTCAGCAGTCATTATTATGACCTCCGCCAATTGCAACCTGAAGAAGACTTGATTGAACTCAACGATGAGCCGCCGACCCCTCAGATACAGACCGAACACCCCAACGGACCTCTCCACCGGTCAGGCGGGAGCCCGTCCGAATCCAATCATGGGCTAACAAGATACCAAGCCAAATCGTATGTGACCTAGCAGAAAATCCTAGTACTGATGCAGGCTTTTGACAGTGATCTAGAAGCACCCGTGTTCAAGAACAGATAACTCTTCTCGATCTTGAAGATCCCCTCATACAAGGAGATTCGGCTTCGCGAGATGGTCGCATAGCTGGCGGTGAGCGAAGCAGGATTGGCCGGCAATCATATAATCTCATGTATTCGAACAGTGCTATCCTGCGTCCGACGTATCTGCTGACATTTTCGCTTCTTCCCAGAAACATCCAAACTCATACCCAGAGCAGAAGCACAAGCCGGCAGAATTCTGGCGATCAACTCTGCGATAGTTGTGAAAGAAGTACCAGCTGTTGGGAAAAGCAGGTATCTCATAAGATGCAGCGGAAAGCTCCAGGATCCATTCCGCACGAAAGAACCGATTGTCGTACCGCTGAGTTAATCAAGGCTATCTTGGAGGTCAAGGCAACTTCCGCTGAACAAGACATTCTGCACAAAAACGACGAAGACACAACATGGTTCGGCGTCGTCCGAGAAGATGATGAGCTACCTACATTCAGAGACTATGGGAGGTATGCCGCTATCATGGCCGACACTCTCCGCCCATCGTCTCGCCACGCGCGCGACCATCGATTTCCAGGTCTCGTGTCATTTGTAAGCCAGACAGGTCTGCATGCCATCATAGAAAGCAGGCATATGTGCTGACACTTGATCGCAGGCGCAGGAAAGAGCACTATCATTAATTTGGTCATAAATCTCAGGACCAACAACGAGAACTTCCCATCTCCAGTCGTTGGTGCTGCAGGGCTCGATGTCCCCACCTCTGGCGACGTCCATCTCTACTCAGACCCCCCAGACTTGCATGTCAGACAACCTTATTATGTATGCAGATTGCGAGGGGCTGGAAAGCGGTGAACGAGAACAACTGGGAGCAAGACTAAAAAGGAAGGACAAGCCCTCAAAAGTTGGCCGGGTTGACTCTTTTGAAAGAAAATTGCAAAAGATACATCACAGATCGGAACATGCAATCACCTGGGCCGATACAAACGCTAAAAGGAGCAGGGATTTCACTGTCACCCATCTGTATCCATGTCTTCTATACACCTTTTCTGATGTGGTAGTCTTTGTGCTCAAAAATCCCAGGTCAGTCAGTGTTTGAAGTTCCTTTTCTCTAAAAGATCTGGCGTTCTTACATGAGTGTGCTTCATCCACCTCCAAACGAAAAAGTCGGGTATATACGAATTAACCCACAATTGAAGGAGAATCCACCTGGCTTGGATGAAGTGGAGAGCCTACCTTACATCCAAGGAGTAGTCCGTGAGATTTCAAGCACGGATGTTAGTATACAAAATGTAGCGCTTCGTTTGATTGCTTCGAGCTTTTATTTCGAAAAATCTCACGCTGTGGAGCTTGCATCAGATGATTCTGTCCAGATAAAAGGTTTGTTTCCCAGAAGGTCTTCTAATACAGCATGCTGAGAGCCGTCTGCAGGACACATATATTGCCGGTTACTGAAAGACAGCAAGGAGATCTCCGAGCTTGGAAAGTTCATGCGGAATAAGCTGCAGTGTGGCTATGAATTGTACTTCGTCATACAAGAAGAGCACCGGGGCCAGCACGCCAAGAAGGTTTCGGTCTCAACGGACGTCATCGAACGAATGATTAGAAAACGTCTGTTCGAGATGGACAACGTCAGCGTCCAGCTCTCTACTAAGATCGCTTACACCGAGATATTACTCCATATGGGGCCAGGAGATGTGTATCCAATCAGCAGGTTTCCAAGGTCTCTTTTGCAAGACGAAGATTCGAAAGAAATTCAGTAACTATACTCCATCCGTTTGTGCTGTACTGTGGCTGACGTTTATACTTCCACTTCTAGGAACACGGCAAAACGTTACCCTAAATTCCAATCGATGGGCTGGCCGGACTCCAATTCAGCGAATACATCGCAAGAGTTGGATCCCACCTGATCTAGCCGAACAGCGCTCAGATCCTGATAAAATATCGCATTACTCGAAGCAGGATTATGTTATCGGAGAGTCATCCCAGGGCACGCTGCAAAGGATTGCCCATCGACTCAACAATGGCCCCAGCCCAGCGCAAATCCTGCCAGAGCCAGATACTTCGGACTTAGAATCAGAGATGGCGGAACTGTCGAGACAAAGATCTGCAGCAATAGAGCTCGACGGCAATTCCTTCGCAGTCGAACTTGACGCTGGCCCTGTCGTCGATCTCACTCAGCAAGCGAACCGTCCGCAGGGCGAGACTGACAGTAGCAGACTCTCGGAAGGAAACCCCATGGGCCACCCGTCTGGTCCATCCAATGAACCGCAAGATCTGCAAGCGGACACTGAGCACGCTTCGCCGAGGGCCGCTCCTCAGGTGGGGAAAGCAGATAGGAAGTGGGAGGGAGGTTTCTTTCGGTTTTGACCCATCGGCGTCCGGGACTCTGAAAGAAGTCCTGCGTTCACTGCGGCGCTGCAACTAACGTAGTTTGCATCAGCGTCGTCTTAGTCTATGTCATGGGGGCTATCCTCAGTGGAGGACGATATTCCTGTATAGGTGCAATTCCTCTGAAATGGTACACTTAGCGGAAGGGGTTTGAGGCACACAGATAAACCACAATATAGAAACGTCAGCTCCTGGTGTCAGCGTAGTGGGCCTGACGATGAGCCTCATTCCATGTGGTTGATTGCTGACCTCGATGCAACGAGCTTGATCACGCATAAATCACCGCAATCGAACGCTCCAGATTATCAAAATTGCTCCGACACCATTCACTCAACTCAAAGTTTTACGATCACTGGTGCCTATATCTCTTCACAGGTTATTCTTCTAAGGCGAACAGGGTAGATCTGCTGTAGACGTAGTACCCAGCTCACCGCCATGCGGGGAACAGGCGGAACTAGTGAGCAAGCGCCCCGTAGTCACGCTTACCTTACTCAGGGTCGCATGTCCATCCGAATAGGGCATCTATTCAATACCGAAGGTTTTATTGATTGTTGGAGTTCTTGCATTAGGGCTGTTCCTTTACACACTTGGATGATGGAGGCCAACTTCCAACTTTCCCAAGCACTAGGAATTCGATCTGCACGGTTCGGGAGGGGATGAAATCCCTGCCCGCTCGGCTTGCAATTTGCTTGGCCTGGATTCTTGATACTTTCGAAACACCATAGACAGTTCCGCTTTAGAAGCGCATGCATCACAATTCTCCGTCTTTTCTGCGGTAGTTGATAGAATTTAATGTGTCAGATCTCCGAGCTTGAAAAGACGTCGATGCCTATCAATTATCATACCAATGATAACTGAACCGTGGGTGAAAAGCAAGCCAGATGATGATGATGCGTTATCATGGATCGCTTGAAAAAGGCAGATTGGCTGCGCCGCGGAGCTATAGTATTACTCTACGGGACGCCCTTCAGCTTTGCCCCTGCACCTATTCTCTAATGTACAGCTGGATCATCTTGCTGATTGTTCATGATACTTAAGTATCGTGACTTCCTATCTACATTAGTATCCTTCTCGACAGTTTCGAGTAGGAGTACCGAGTGCCCTTGCTTGAGACAAGTCCCGGTCTCCTCTCCCTGTTCCACAAGGGTTTTAGGGGAATAGTCTAAAATTCAGCCGGCTTAGCTAAACTTTGCTGCCAATCGATTCCCCATCCTCTTTTCCACACTCCTTCATTCTCCAAGACCTCCAAAATCGGTCCCTTTCTCCATCGACGACAGCACATAGCGTTTCCTGGTTTCATTGTCGTAGTGGGCGTTGTACAGCATCACTCCCGTCTGCCCCGTCTGTCCTCTTCAAGAGTCGGTAACGGGCCGTTCATTACAACACTAGCGGCGAACAAACAGCCCCCATAAAGAAATCTTGCAAGTTGCAACCTCCAACTCCTTGTCGCTTTCATCAGCGCGTCCACTCGCTCCCTCACAACCATACCGAGGTGTCTCTGACTTGCGCAAAGCTCAATCGACACATACGAAATCTGCGGTGAGTTTTAAATCTGTCCGTCTGACTGCGCTTCCGCAGCACACCGCCTTGGCCGCAGCCTTACCGAGGTACCAAATCCTCGGATCACAGAGGCTTCATCCACCCTAAGCCTCATCACCACAGTCTTGCGCTTACCCTCTACACCCATCATTGCATGACGTCGCCTCTCGTTCCTCATCACTTATCCTTGCATCGATAGCGGAGACTGACCGCGTAATCAGATAGCGCCCGTGTCAGATCCCTCCCTCGTGCCGTAATCGCGAAAGCTTTCAACGACCGCCAAGATGGGCTGTGGGATGAGTACGGAGGAGAAGGAAGGGAAGGAGAGGAATGAGCAGATCGAGAATCAATTGAAGCGCGACAAGCTATCTCAACGGAATGAGATCAAGATGCTTCTTCTCGGTCAGGATGGCTAGTCTCGATGAAACAGCTACAAGGGCTAATACCATACCAGGTGCCGGAGAGTCTGGCAAATCTACAATCCTCAAGCAGATGAAACTCATCCACGAAGGCAGCTATTCGCGGGACGAGCGAGAGTCATTCAAAGAGATCATCTACAGCAACACCGTCCAATCGATGCGCGTCATACTAGAAGCTATGGAATCACTGGAGCTCCCTTTGGACGACCAGAGAACTGAGTACCACGTCCAAACCATCTTCATGCAGCCTGCACAAATCGAGGGCGAGAGTTTGCCGCCGGAGGTTGGAAGTGCCATAGATGCTCTGTGGAAGGACGCCGGCGTTCAAGAATGCTTCAAACGTTCAAGAGAGTACCAGCTCAACGATTCGGCCAGATAGTGAGTAGTCTCAGCCTTCAGGCGGAAAGGATGTGGAATCTGGTGCTTGGGCCTTGCGAAGAGTCTCCAAACAAGGCCCTTGTTCATTCTCACTACCCCACACGTGCGTTTGCTTACTCGTTCATCTTAGTTACTTCGACTCTATCGGCCGGATTGCCCAGCCCGACTATCTACCGAATGACCAAGATGTTCTACGATCTCGAGTGAAGACCACCGGTATTACTGAAACAACTTTCATCATTGGCGAGCTTACCTACCGCATGTTCGATGTCGGAGGTCAGCGATCCGAGCGGAAGAAATGGATCCACTGCTTCGAGAACGTCACGACCATCCTTTTCCTCGTTGCCATCTCCGAGTACGATCAATTGCTCTTCGAAGACGAGACCGTCAACCGAATGCAAGAAGCTCTCACACTCTTTGACTCTATCTGCAACTCCAGATGGTTTGTCAAGACCTCAATCATCCTGTTTTTGAACAAGATCGACAGGTTTAAAGAGAAACTCCCGGTGTCTCCCATGAAGAACTATTTTCCGGATTATGAAGGCAAGCTGAACCGAACTGGCAACAACGGCGCGGAGCATCACAGATCTAATATTGCTGAAGGTGGACCTGATTATGCTGCGGCCTGCGATTATATCCTGAACCGATTCGTTTCCCTGAACCAGCACGAGACGAAGCAGATTTACACCCACTTCACCTGCGCTACCGATACCACCCAGATACGGTTTGTCATGGCGGCTGTCAATGGTATGTTCATCACCGCCTTACTTCCATTCGAACCTGCTGATGATTGGCTACAGATATTATTATACAAGAGAACCTTCGTGATTGTGGTCTGTTATAGGCCCGACCCAACCCAAAACGTGGACGAGAAGCTGAACTTTGTGGAGGCCTGTTCTTCTAAATGGCACCAGTCATTTCCCCCAAAGGTCGAATCCTTTCCGGCAAGCCCCCGGTCTGTCTCAGCCCCCTCGTTCTCAAGCATGCAAGCGCTCGAGATTTTGTATACCACGCCGTTCTCGTCCTGCCATCAGCCTGCTTTTCGGCGCGTCTTCGAAGCCATATGTCTTTCGACAATCACCCACCTTCCGATGCCCCAGGCGCTCGCGGTGAAATGTTCGGTGCGTTGGAACAATTTTAGTACGGTTATTATAATGTGATACCAGTCAGTGGGGACATGCGAGCACATGTTCTTTTCTTTTGTCTCACCGTGTGTCTCTCGGAGCGGAGAGTGGGATTGGTCTCGGGAATATCCATTTAGATTGTTGCGTGTGCCATGGCTGCAGGTGCAGGTATGTCATTAATCAGGATCATGCCATCGATCAAATCCACCTACCTCTTCAAGTCTTCACGTGAACAGGCTTGATGCTCCAGAGCCTTGCGAGATCAACATGAAGCCTTTCTGTTTGCTCTATACCTTGCCAACTTCTCGAAACTATTGACACTGCTTGTATCAAACTCCAACCTCTCGTGCGCGCGCCGTGCGAGTGACCAAAGCATCCCAGTATCCGATGCTCCAACATTGCCCTCGCTCTCCCAACCTGCTGTCCCGCTTTGAAACTTCATTGGGTCTGTACGCGACCACTTCCCGTCTCCCCTGAGGATGCAAGATAGGTAGTGCTATGGATTTCCAAAGTAATCTGTACAATCCGCGGAGCCCATCATCCGCCATACCGAATCATCAGATGTAAGCCAAAGTAACGACTGCTACTGAGCCGAGCTTGTACTAGTACCAGGCGACGCCCACGATGACGGCGATCTACCTGATGGATACGGTGTTGGTTTTCTAGTACTCTGATGGATACGGTGATGGGTTTCTAATCTCTGATGGATATGGTGTTGGTTTTCTAGTACTTGATCATATTGCATGGGAAGCGGACGATGTTTGCTGCGTCCGGCATCTCCGTCAGGGTCCATGTCGAAGATGTCGCCGCCCGTCCACTTTTCAGTCTCGGTACTCGTACACCATCCCTCACCCCTTGAGAAAGGAGCGCTGGGGTTTGTTATTTGGCCATGTTGGGGAATGAAGGTCTAGAGTCGATTTCTACTTGACTTGATAGTGCGTGTGAGACCGTGCGGGCAGGCCCAGATACTAAATATGGTCCGACAGGGCGTCGGCGGGTCGTGAGATATGTCTGAGGTGTCAATCAGCCGCTACGCCAGCCCGGCACTAGGAGGGGTAGGTGGTTTTCTTTCTCCTTTCGTGTGAAGCCGTGCCCGGTTCCCACACCGCCCCGAGGGATTGTTTCGAGGTCGGGTTGGGAGGTCGGTGTCTGGGGTCTGGGGAGGGGCCCGCTTGAGCTTTTTGTTTCGAGGAAGTTGCGTGTTTTTGTTGTTGTTGTTGCTGTTGTTGACCGAGCTCAAGACGATCGCATCATGCAGATGGAGCAGGTCTGCAAAGTCTCTGCTCACGGTCACCGGCAGCCCATTTGCACATCAACAAAGTTGACCCAAACTGCTAGGTCGGAGCGACTTGGTCCATGACTTCCTCGTCGCCCGGATGCTTGGTTTGCTCTGTCGTCCAGACGTTTGCATATGCAAAGTTCGACCATCAGTTGCAAAAGTCCTGGCCGAATTTCTTACAGCACTGTTGGGCTCAGTCGCGAGAAGCTACGTTTGTTTGGACCAAGCCTTTTCTTAACCTGCTTGATGTGGTCGGTATCAACGTTGTAGTTCGACGCGACGCTTTTCGCTTCCTCGTCGACTCATACTATCACCAACGAGTCCGAGAACGCAGACCTTGTACAGTATAACCGGCGGAGGGATTTCATGTCGCCCACGACGGTAGGAGAGTCCTCTAGCGCTCTCCAAGGAATCCCTTCGACTGGTTTAGCTGCTTCTAGTACGGCGTCCCTGGCAGGAGAGAGTGGCTCTAGGTGAAGTGGGGTAGCACCGTTTGATAATGCGTGGACGAGCCGTGAACAGCCTCCTCCAGGTGTCCTTGCTAGAGACCACGCTGATCTAAGACTTTTGAATGAACCCCCTTCCATAACAATTTACTCACTAAGTAATCACCGGGCTCATTCTTGCAACCTATCTCATTATCCTCTACAATATCAAGCATCCCCTCTATCGTTCACTTATGATAATTACACAAGAAGTGCAAGCCAACCAAGGACCAACCGGCGAAACCTATAGGTCCGAACAAGCCAGCGCACAACTGTCACACGGGCCAAAGGTTCGTCGACTGGAAGTTTTTCCGAGCGAAAAGGATCGCGAGGGACCTCATCGACGTAAGCTGAAACCAAGAAGTTGTTCATCCTCGCTCACCCAGCGTCACAGAAAGTTTTGCAATCTTTTCCCATCTTCCCCCGCCAGACAGGCACCTCAGGCATCCCTCCTGCGACTCACCAATCTCCGCCTCACTCAGCGCTTCGGCGATTTGCTCTCACGTATAGACTGTTGTTGGCTCATGTATCACGTGTTTTCCCGTGCTTTTCACCATGACACGCGTTGCTATTACCGAGGACAACGTGAGCCCCCTCCTAGATACATTGATCTGGTTTTGCCTGATTGTTTCTCTCCTCACGGTCCTCGTTCGCTCTTCGACCAAGCGATATGTCCTTCATAGGATTGATCTCGATGATTACTTTATCCTCATTAGCTTGGTATGAGTATCGAAACTGCTGGCGCGACTTTGACTGTGATATGGCTGATCTTCGAAGTTCTTTGCATCTGCTCAATCAATCACAATTTCATTCGCGACCTCGAATGGTCTTGGCCAACGTCTGAAATCCCTGGATACATACGAATTATCCGCTCTACTCAAGGCTAGTCGTGATGCTTTCTACACCCGCTGAGCGCTTATATCTTAAAAGCACAATACGCAGCCACTTTTTCCTTTACAACAAGTGTCTGTTTCGCGAAGCTATCACTCGCTGCGTTCCTTCGAAGTCTCACGCCCTTGACCCTCGACCGTAAACTTGGTCTTATCATCGGCTTGATAGTTGTCTTTTGGGCCGTAACTGCAACAGTCACAGTCGCATTCCAATGCCAGATCCCTAAACCGCGGGACTACGTCAACCAGTCATGCTTTACTCTTGTAAGCAGTCTTCCTGGTCTTGACTCGGAGGATTTCTAAATCTTTTTGGAACAGCCTTCCTGGGCCAATCATGTGGCGGTAATGAACGTATTGACCGATGTCCGCTTGATTGTTTCGCCCTTGGTCATTGTGGCACGGCTCAAATCGGCAAGACCCAAGAAAATCATATTGGCACTGTTTTTCATGGCTCGTGTGTGGGAAAGCATTGCCCGACCGGTCTATTGTAGCATGCTAACATGGGATAGTGTCGTGACAGCAGTTATCTGCCAGGTCATCTACCTCAATCGCATCAAGCCTTCAGGTGACTTGACCTTCGAGATCTGGCCTGTGACACTCTGTTCGCAGATAGTACAGTGTCTGAGTATTCTGGCCACATGCCTCGTTTATCTGAGACCCTTCCTCGATAGTCTGGAAACCGGATTCATTCAAGTTGGTGACCTGAGGCGACGACATGTCTCAGGTTTTGGATACAGGGCAGAAGCTGGCTCCAGAGGCCCAAGAGACAAAAAGTCAGGTGTGAGTTTCAGCAGTCTGAAATCGAAGCTCTCGAGGGCACAGCCCCGGAATGAAGACATCGAGTTGCAAGACAATGCGAGGACCAACCTCCAGGATCTGGGTAACACTGCTTTTGTTGATGCCGAGCATCACGACTGGGACGCACACAGTCGATCACACATCTTACGGACCACGACGTTGACAGTTGAGGAGCGCTATCGCGACAATCATTCTCTCACCACCTCACCGTCAGCTCAATTTGTCCACTATCCTAAAGGATCTAGGTAGAAGCAGCTAATGTATACTTTGTCGGACTTGGCGTTGACTAGGACATAAAAGAAAGGTCAAACAACAATCTTTGTCACTAATGGTGCTGCTCACATGAGTTCGAGGAATTGGTCGCCGCCGATTGAAAGCTGGAACAATAGAGGCATTGGATGCTTGGACGCCATGGTGGGCTTTAGGCCGAGTACATCTCCGAAGCAGCTCCAAGCGCACTGTTCATGCAACCCTTCAGGCGGGCCGTTATCCGAGATCTTGGCGTTCAGGACTTTTGGTGTCTACCTCAGTAGGGTGCGAAGGATCGAGTCCATTTGACGAGTCTGCGACGAGGACGGGCATCACTGGAGTTGTAAGCGATGCGCATCCGGGACTTGGATGAGGTGTTGGCTGGACGACCCTTCCGGCGAGATCTTGGCGCTCGAGTCTTGGCGTTTGAGATACTATCAAAGAGTGATAGTGGTAGAAAGCTTCTTTCTCACACGAGGTATCGTCAGCCGGGATCTCTTTGAAACGTCTCACCTATCAATGAAATTTTCCGTATCCTGAATCGGCCCTTGCTGAAACGAGACAGCAACAGATTCCTCGTGAGCAATGGCAAATCAGATAGACGCGCTTGAACGGCAAATCCAAGCGACTCGGCATCGCTTGCTAGGCGAAGCACCTTCAGAAACTGATGCTAATTGCTAACATTTCGTAATCTTCGAAGGTTATTTTTTTATACACTCACATACTTATATCTTATAGTTATAAGACAGAGCGTCTCTGTAGGTAGATGGTGGCTGCACCTCGCTGTCTTTTGTGGTACTTGTGAAGGGATAAGATTTTTGGAATCCCGCGTAATTAGGCCAGTACGTGCAGAACCAATGTTCTTGTATCTTCCGACGTGCTCCTCGCACTTCCATTCGTGTCAGGAAGCCAGGTGTCCACCATATCACCTGCCTGACGCAATGACTCCCTCCAGGTGAGGGTACTCTTTTGCTCATTGAAAGGAGTTGCGGTAAGTTTTCGTTGACGTTGCCATTCAGAGCCTTCGGCCTACAAGTTTGGGTGAGCAATGGCGATTCAAGAGCACGGACAGGGTTAGTTACCGTGGAAATATTAGGTCCGAAGACGTTCAGCATGCCTATTGACAGGTCAGCGTCAGTGAAACCAGGGCTGGCAATGGTGGACCAACTAACTGGTCCACTACCAGTGGAACCGTTAGTTTCTCGTAGTTGAAAATATAGTTTAAGGTCTACCGGTTGGGTAGTTGATGTAGCTTTGACCCTAAAAGCGACTGGTTCAACTGATAGTGGAGAATTTTATAATAATTCTTTTAAACAGTCGGTTTTTTGAATTAAAAGAGCTAATAGATTAACATTTATAGGGCTAAAGTAGGGCTGATAGGGCTTTACACTTGATATATTGGCCTATTCCCCTCCCCGCGCCACTGAGCGATATTTAATCTTTTATTACAACTGCCCCAGTAGTTGGTTTTCAATATATGGTAGTTGGTGCACTTTTGATATCCAACTCTAGTAGTTGGTGCAGTTTGCCATCCAAAACCAACTATTTCCACCGTTGCCAGCCCTGAGTGAAACTGATCCTTCTATTTCCAACGGTATCGATTATATCGAAAGTGATAGCAAACGAGGGAAGTAAAATTAGCAGCAGACGGATCTATGAACTCGCTGCAGAGAGACGGAAAGAGGGTGTGCACGCATCAGTAATACATATCAATTACGGTCCAAGGCAATGCATATGGAATGAGTGATTTCCAAGAATTGGCTGATGATGATCATGGGGTCCCGCCCTGCATAGGCAATATGATTGACTGATGGAGCAAAGTGGCCCAATGCCTGATGGGAAGGGTCCAAAAGGGACATCCTCCGCCCTCGGGTACTAAAATATTTGACGCCCGGCCCGCAAAGCTTGCCCGATTGCTTCAGCCTCATATACCCGCGCCAAGGTGCAACGTTCGCGTACTACCCTTGTTGGAATCTGCTGCAGCACACTGTGTTGTAGCTACCCCGCAGGTGGCAAATTAGCATGGGCTTCACATGGTATATAAGTAGCCTTTGCTTGCGGGGCCGAGCCTAGGTTCTTCTCTTCCGCCAACAATCACTAGATGTACGTTGTACATGCCGCATTATCAACCTTGTACGCGTCGAGCTGCAACACTTTCAACAACGGCTGACATGCAGTAGCGTATATTTACATCAGTAAAGAAGCGGTGGGATATGCTCGATCAAGGAAATGATCATGCCCTATCTCTTAGCCTCTCTATCCCAGAGCTTTTTTTCTTTTTTTGTGAAGAATGCCAATCCGTACACCGGTAATAGGATGTCGGTCAGCATGACAGCAGCTCTGATAGAACGTATAATGTTTCACCCTTGACATACCCTCGAGGCTCAATCCGTCGATGCATGACAGCCTTTGCTTTGATCGACTGCTTCAGGTTTCCTGGAGAAAATTTCTTCAGGGGGGGCAAAGGGGGAACTGAGGGTTGATATCGATCCTTCAGATTCGGGGTCCCTATTTTCTCCAGCTCATCTGTGCCGTTCACGTAACACATACAAAACAAAATCAACAATCATGCTGCTAGCCCCTGTCGAAAATGCTGCGCTCCCAAACTCGGTGCCGTACGCCGGGTTCCAGCCTTTGTTTCCGACTGCTGGTTCGTCGAAGTGAGTACATATGAGTTCATGCCATCGTTTAAGAGAGGAAAGGCATATGTCACGCGCTCTATAACTCTGAGGAAAAAGCCATCGAGGATAGCCTTTGGCCAACCCTGGTAAGACCTTGTTGAACGCCCAGAAGTCTTCAACGAAAGGGGGGTGCTTTAAAAGAAGACTTTGGCCACACATGGCCTCAACAGCTGCGGGAAACAATCCTGCTCGCATAAATGCAAACAAACCTGGGAAACTTGACCATATCGGGCGTACAGAGTCAGTATCCAAAAGACGCTCGGTCAGATTCGTCGTAAAGCGCCTAGCGAAAGGCTTCAAACCATCGCCTGTTGAGAATGTTGACACCAACGAGTCTGTGAGATATTCGATGCGGAGATGGGGCGGAACTTTACTGTGTGGGTGCGGTTGCAGATGATGACCAGAATCGTCATCCATCCAAAAGGCCAACGCGTCCTTCGGCATCTTGCACATGTTGTGGACAGAAAGAGCTTTGTAGGCTTTGTTGTGCAAATCTGGCTCCTTCCATTTAGCTTGTATGATCTCGGAACCCGATACGAGGTACAGATTCGTAACCAACAGTCGAAGTCGAGCAGGAATATGTTTGAATCGAGTACTTGACAGCATTCTGATATTGTGGAGACAATCAGACAGACTTGCATCCAGAAGATATGAATCCAGACGACAGATGGAGTCTTGCGTCGATTCGAACACTCATGACGGGCAAGCACATCAGCCAGAAGCATCGCTCCTGCAAGAACAAGCCCAAGCTCGCATAGTTAGAATGGCACTAAAGCTGCGTTTGCTTCATGCATGCAACTTCCGGCAAACTTGAGGGTTGACGCGGAGGCTAGTCTGCTCCGTTGCATGCATGATCCGAAGAAAGTAAGACTCTGCCTCACCAATAACCTTTTTTGCGCTGTTACCACCCACCATTACCAAGACAAGCTGCTCCGGTGTCCCGCTAGCCAGTCAGAAATAGGGCCAGTAGAATAGGCTGCGCCGCACAGTCATCCTCACTGGCAGCTCTGCTTGCTGTCGAGTGAATCCTGTCAGAGAGGCACATATAGTCTTATCCATGTCCAAAGGATTGAAGGACGCTTCAAATTTGAGTCTCATATAAGTAGCGTTCAAGCTTAAAAAAAGTCAGTCGTTTCATTGGCCAGCTATCATTGCTTTGCAAAGAGCCCAATGTCCACAATGGCTTCAGCTTTGCCGGCCGCGCACATCAGTCCTGCGAGGATTGGCCAACCCACTTTCATGGTACGTCGACACGTGGTTTTGTAACACTCTAAATCGAGTATTTCTGACTTCTGTAAAGGGCCTTGCGTGGGGAAGCGTGGCCCTTACGGTACTCTTCTTTACCTTCCGTATCATAGTCCGATTGAAGGTCTTTGGCCGATTGCATGCAGATGATGGCTTGGTTTTTTTTGCTTGGATTGTTCTCCTGATCAATACCATACTGTGGCAATTCGGCCAAGACGCTCTTTACGAGAACATTGCAGTGTCTTCTGGCCAACTTTATCCACCGCCGCCCGGTTTTGCACACGCAGCGGAACAGTACCTGCGAAGATCTGTCGCTGTGATCGTTTTCTTCTATACCGGTCTCTGGAGTGTCAAGTTCTCCTTTCTAGTCTTCTTCAAACGACTTGGGCATAATGTGAGGAATCAGCGTATAGTGTGGTGGCTTGTTCTGGCAATTACTCTCGCCTCGTATGTGACCTGTCTGGGTACTATTGAGTATTCCTGTCTTGCTTCTTCCTTCATGTATATTGAGAGTAAGTACTGGATCCCCTTAGACATAGCATTGACTAACTCCCATCAGCCCATTGTGCGATGACGTCAGGGCCAGTCAGATATCAACGGGAGACACTGCGCAGTAATATGATTCTCGATGTTGTCACTGACGCTTTAAGTCCGTTATACCCTTCAAAGTTTCCCTTGGAGCTGCCCGTTGACAATGCCTACCAGTCATCCTCGTTCCCATCAACTTACTCTGGAAGGTCCAGCTGAGTTTTCGAAAGAAGTTTGCTTTAGGCGGCATCTTCTGCATCACAGTTATTATCATGGTTTTTGCTATCATACGCGCAATCGTGGTGAGCTCCTATAGTCAAGAATTGGATGAGACATGGCTTTATATGTGGAGCTCAATCGAACAAGCAGTCTGTAAGTTAGCTGTGCCCTAGTTCCTCAATATGGTCCTTGGCAGATTCTATGGGCCTTAGCAGACTGTTTCGCACAAGCTTATAATTCGCTCTTCAAACAGCCATCATAGTTGCATGTCTCGCGTCATTTCCATCCCTTTTCGAGAAATCCGAGCGTGCTAAACACCAACGCCTCCCGGATGGCAATGCCGAGGGTCATTCTGATGCCACCTCCCGCTATATCTTCTTCTTCAGCGGAAAGAGCAAAGCATTCCAGGAGAGTCCATCTGATATTGTTATGAACAAGACGGGGCAACAGCAGGCCTCTACCATGGTACACGGGAGCAACGGTTCCTCGGCTCTTTGGAACCAGCACCAGAAGCCATCGTTTCACTCGAGCGAACATATTCTTCCAATGGACAAAGCTCACATCGACGTTTAAAATTTGGAGAAGCTGCGGGACTCCAGTGGATTTTCCGACTGGATCGAGATGCGGATGGCGTGGGGACTGTTATGAGCGACGTGTAATGCCGCTGATCTTAGGCGTATGTGAATTCCAAAATGGCAAGTCACTCATTTAACCCCAAAGCAGGATTTTCTTTCTCATTCGTTCCCTCTATTCTCATTCATTCCCCAGCCCAAGGATGCTCCGGGCGGTCGAGGTCCGCCCCTGGGTCTGTCCCGAGGGGCGCCCCAGCTCTGATGGCTTGCAGACTCCTTCCAAGGCCACGCGTTCCTCGGAGTAAACTGCACTGAGGGTTGTGGCTTTGGCACAAGAGATGAGGATGAAACTTGCCCAAAGAAGGGAGCCAGAGAACATCTGCTCAAAACCCCATTGTTCCTTAGGAAGGATGGGGTCGAGTTCAAAATCAAAGCGCTCGTGAGATAAACGCGGTTTAAAGATGCCAATTGAAGAGCTTGGTGATGAAGATTCCAATGTACGAGTGGGTAAACAAAGACATCCCCAACCTTGGGCAGGCATGCGTCCACGATCTTTCCTTGTCACAAAAGCGGTCGGTCATCAATGTCTCTCTTCTAGAGGACATGATTCCACGATTTTTATTTTCCTCCAAAGCTGCTGCGGTAAATATTCATGTTCCCAAGGAAACCAGGCCTCTTGTTTCCCTCTTCTTCCTTTGAAGGCAGGAAACCATAGGGCCTCGTTATTTGAGAGATGAGGATCGTACCATCTTATTTGACAAAGAAACCACTCTCAGCGAATCTACCATTCGGTCATCTCGGCACGTTACTGCTGGGCGCACCCTATCCCACCTTCTTCGCCAAATTCTGCTTCGACGCCGCCCGCACCGTCGTAAGCCTCACATCGAGTGAAACCCTTCCAAACTTCACACGCATCGACTACCAATTACCCCACGAAGGAGACGCCTGGCCAAACGTCGAGGACCGATTCCCGAAATCCCGTCCACCGGCCGTAGAGACATCGTCAAAGGAAATCTACAACACGCGGTATGCACCCCATGGGCTCTCCAATGCCGAACCATCTCCCACCTCCCCCTTCTCCCCCGCAGCACCACTCATCCCCTTTCCAGATTTTGGTACGACAGCGCCGGTCCCGTCTTCTACAACCAAGTCAAGCGTCTCCTCGGAACCGACTACCCCTACGTGCTGCCGTACACGGCCGTCGAATCGATCTCCCAATCCATCATGGATGCCGACTTCACCACCGACGCGGAAAAGCAGGCTGTGTCCACGAAAGCGAAGGATATCTTCGGCGGGCTTATTGTTTGGGCGGGCGGGCGAGTCGGATACTGCTGGAACGGGTGCGGTGGCGATTTTTTTGATCTTGTTTGCGTTGATTTTGGCGGTGGTTTCGCTTCGATATGCGATAACTGGTGTTTTGGAGAAAAAAAATCGATCGATGCGAATGCGTTCTGTTGAGCGTGGGGTGGTATCCCACTTCTCACGTTGTTTTAGCATCAACTCACCCTAGCACGTAACTGTTATCCATTTTCGAAAGACCACTACACTTAAATAAGCATCCTGACATGAGCATCTGGCGTCTTGTACCCTAGTTCAGTTCCGCCCTCGACAGCAGCGTCAAGAATTCCAACCACACATCTTGCTTTCATCACAGCCAGCGCACACATCCACCGCTTTCTTGTCCGAACAATACCTCAAGGATCGAAGAAAGTGCTTATGGCAAAAGGGTAACCTGTATTGTCTCCCATCCTAGGTACTCGAAACAAACGTATTCTTGCAGATATCTGTTCCATCTCTTGGAACGCCAAATAGGCGATGATTCCACGTTCTGGATATGCCTGATGAGTAGCAAAAGACAGCCATGGAAAATAGATGGCTCTCAGTGGTTAGATGAACACCCACTTATAAACGTGTGACGCTTTTGGAGATGAAACCGTCAATGTGTGCCACTGTTAGGGACTACTCTAGATCCGTGACATTCTGAGCACAATCGCCTTGCAAACACTCTCGACCCGTGATATCTTCAGACATTATCTCTCAAGACACGTAACAGTCTTGGGTCAGAAGTCTCTTGACGTGTGATGTCAAATATCTGGTAACCCCCAACCCGAAAAGAATGCAACGATTTCAGGGACAAAGCCACTCAAAGCGCCTGAACTTCAGGTAGTATCCCCCAAAAAATGTACAAATTTTTTGACCTTCCGAAGGATCGATCCTAATAGATATACATCGTTTTGAGGGGAAGGAGCCACTCAACGTGCAATATCTTCAGGGATTACCCCCCTGGACATACCATATCGGTTTGCGTGATCTGCTATTAAATTCCACGCCGCGAACAGTGAATTGGATAAACCGGTGAATCGAACCAGTAAAATAAAGAATCGACATGATAGATCGAACTGGGGAATCGGATCAGTGAATCAAAAAATATGTGAATCAAGACGGTGAATACTCCTGGCGCCACGCTAGCGAGTATATCTTCTCCGTCCGACCTTCATCGACTTCTTATCCGACCTACACATCTCCGACCTCGACCACCTCCAAGCTTACCCAACGCCCTCCAACCTGCAAATCTCCCGACCTGGACAGCCCCCAAGAGTACCCAACGGCCTCCAACTGACACAACTTCGATCTCGGCCGCCTCCGGAATTTACCCTGCATCTCCAAAGTACACATCTTGAACCTCAACCGTCCCCGAGAGTACCCGACGCCTTCAACAAAAGCGACCCCAGAAAAACCACACAAGGCAAGCTTCTCCCCCTTCAAGCGTACCAAAACACAAAGAGCTCAACGCCTCCAGATGCCCGCCGCGAACCTCTTCAGCTTACCGGCCGAAATGATAGCCGAAATAACATCCCACCTACCCGTAACCTCCATCGCAAACATGCACCTCGCATGCCACTCCCTCCACGCCATCACCAAGCCCGCCCCGCCCCTCGACAAACAAGCCTGGCGCCGCTTCCACCAGGACTTCGAAACCACCGCGCGGCGTACGAAAGCGCCCATCAAACTGGCCTGCACGCGCTGCATGAAGCTGCTTCCGCCGGCCAGCTTCCAAGACAGCCAGGCGAAACGGAAGTGCGACAGGCTGGAGGGACGGATGTGCTTCAAGTGCGGGGTCATGGAAGGGTATTACAACGTGCGGGACTTTCTGCACAGGAAGGAGGTGTGTTTTTCTTGCTTTGCGTGTCCGGAGCCGAGGAAGGTGGAGGAGGAGGCGGTGTATACGGACCGCGAGGCGGGAATGCCGGTGCACGCCGGGGTTGGTCGGGCGGACACGGGGAGCAAAAGGTGGTGCAAGGGATGTTGGAGGGTGGTGACGATGTATGTGAATGCGAGACTGGTCTGAAATGGTGGGGGAACTCTCGCTGCGTGGCCCGATCTGCGTCATCAAAGCTGCGGAACGGCGTTGAGATGGCGATTGAGGCTATGAGCAATGGCACAAGAGCGGGTCAACACGAGATGAGAGACATTATATGGTAGAAGCAGCTTAATTCAGCCGGGCGGGAGGAAATGGACCGATGAATGTATTTTATGGAAGGAAAGTCGCTCACAAGAACAATCTGTACAACGGGGATAACAGAAAAATTCTTGTACATTAGACGATACGAAATGCTCTGACAGAGATGTGACAATCGAAAAGCTTGCAAGGGAAACGGGTTGATGCTTGTCACACTTGAGCCAAATGTGACCGCCTAACGATCGATATCTCTGCAAAACTACAAGATCGGCAAACTAAGGGATGATATCTTACACCATTAATATTTAGCAGCAATTCAAAAAATACAGAGGGGAGGGAAGATCAACGGGCAATAGCGCGTAAGACTGAAAGCGCAAGCACTGTGTGCAACGAGAAGAAATCATAAACAGTGAATTTGAAAGTCTTCCGCAGCAGTGAATGGGAGAAGTGAAGTACCAAAGCTGTCCTTCCCATCATTGAACCCCTTGAACCGAACTCTTCCTCCTACAGTACCCACACACTCTCCGCATCAGACTTCAACGTTGGGGCAACATTTTTCCTCCTGCACGTCTCAATTAGGTTACATCTCCGATCACGGTTACTTACATAGGTGAGAATGATGCAATGACCTATAGTCAATCCAAAACGGCAAACTAAATGAGTCTTATGTGAGCAGATCTGAAGCACGAATCGCGACATCACGCTAGAGCGAGATTCCAAAGCATGGGACCCAAGATGAGGCGCTTAAAGAAGCAAGGGTAAGTAATTCCTGCGGTTTTCATGTTCAGTGGACGAAGTGTTAATTCTGAGTAGCAAATCTCGGCTCCTGGAAATGCCTCCAGAGCTGCAGAGCATGATTGCAGGCAAGCTTGATGCCGTCTCTCTCTGCAACCTCAAGCTCGTCTGCAAGGGTATCGACACGTGGACCAAAGATCCGCCCAAGCTATCGGCTTCGGAATGGCAACAGTACCACTCGATTTTTGAGACACAAGCTCGCAGGCGCCGCAAGCTCCAGACATTCGGTTGCTCGGGCTGCAAGAAACTCTTGGACAAGGGGGTTTTCAGTGACGCAGCGGCACGTAATTTACTCAACAAGGGCCGCCTGTGCATCAGCTGTGCGATCCACAAGGGATCTCACGACAAGCGCAATTTCAAGGTTAATGAAAGAGAGGTTTTCGGATGTCGAGGGTGTGAGAAAGCTAGGCCGCTGGGCAAGGAGGACACATGCTTGGTGGATAAGACTCGTTGGTACGAGGATTTTCCCGAGATTGACCCTGGTAGCTTCCTTGCTTCGCGTGGGGTTCGATGGTGTCGTGGTTGCTGGACCATCATAGAGAGATACCGCTCGCTGGACAGGTCACTGTAACGGTGCAGCAAGCGAGGTTTTCTGGCTGACAGACTTGGCTGCTGGTGGGAAATTCCCTGGAATGAGCATTTGCGTTGGTCGGAGCCCTTGCGGATCAGCCTTCGGAGGATCAATATGCAACTCGAATGTGTTCACTTCGATTGCCATCTTTTCTCCAACACAGCAACAATGCAGCAGACTGAGCCGCAAAAGAGCATGCGAAGTCTCAAACGAGGTTGTCATTCAGGTATTCAATGAAAGAACTTCGGATCCTGGCCTTGGGAAGATTATGCAGCCGATTGAGTGATATAAATTGGCGTCTAAATCTTTGCAGTTGTGGCAATGAGACCGGGTTTGCAGGTAGTTCGATGGTGCCCTCGGCTATTGCAAGCTCCCCTCCTCCATCGCCCGGGTGATCCTTCTGCCATTCCATAATCACGTTCAATACTCCCTGCGAGATCTTGTCAAGCTCGTAAAGGTAATCTGACTCGGTGGCGGGTTTCTGCGATGGTAAATGAGCTTCTTTTTATTGTACCTGTGGGGAAATTTGCAACCCTACCATCACGGTGGCCGGATTCGGCTTGACTGTTTTTGCTTTGCCCTCGGAACCAACCATAGCGTCCCATATATCCTGGCATGGTGGAGCCTCGTCATCGTAAGGGACCGTGAAGAGCGGACTGTCCCACCTCGTCATGCCGTTTGGCTCCTCGTACCTATAGACCAGGTTGTCGAAGATGTCCACCGGATAGCCATCGTCTTTGCTACCGCTTTCAAGGATCCTCGTGTTGATCTCTCGACATGAATTAATGGGCGTTCCTACGTGGACCTTTAGGTTCATCAGTCTAAGTCCTATGGGTCAACGCTTGAGCGAATGCTGACCACGCAGCTTGGGGTGTGCACAGCTTTTGCTTCGCAATACAGCTGATAGCGGAATCCCTTTATGTAGTTCAAGCTATCGGCGATGACGACGGTATCCTTTCCCAAAGCTCGCTTCACCGCGGAGTATTCGGTAGCGCGGGCATCCTTCTCCGTTCGAGCCTCTCGGTAGACGTGGCGATCGAGGCCAAGAGACTGATGATTGATATGGCAGACTTTCAGGCGGCTGATTCGTGCATCTGAAGAAGCTTGGATCTTGGACTTGAAGGATTCGACCAGCTGATTGGAACGATAGGTCTTTCCTGACGCAGGGTAGCCTGAGATGAGGATCAGCTGCATCTGTCAGTGATGCGTGCGGGTCAAAAGATGGCAAGTCTACGTACAGGCATTTCCGGGTGATTGCTCTATGTCACCATAATCTAGGATTCTGTGCGATGTTGGTGATGGTATTGTCTTAGATGATGGGAATGTCACAGAATCTCATGACCTTGACATGCCCCGCTACGTCAGCCAAGCCCTGTCAAAAGACCCTGGTTTCTGCCCCACCTGCCCCTCGCTTTTGCGAGTCAAAAGTAAACACGCCGGAGTATTAATCTCTTTCCTTTCTCTTTCCCATTCTTTCTTGCCCTCAGTATTACACCTAATTACGGAACACAAAACAACTTCCATCTTCATCATCACCACTCTACCAATCTTCCCAATCCCTACCTTCACCATCAAATATGTCTGACAACCAAACCTCTTCTCTCAAATCGTACATCGACTCTGCCACTGGCACGGTTCAAAGTACCTTGGGAAGCCTCACCGGCAATACTGCTGACCAGGTTAGTGTTACAATCTTCCATGTCCTCGAGGGTTTCTTTTCGGCTACTAGACAATTTCCCCATGTAACCCACGAGTCCGCCAAAGATACTGTCTATTCTGTCCCTTTTTCGGTCCTCACTCTTAAAGGAAATACTATGAGATAACACAGCTGACACTTTCTGTAGGCTAAGGGCGATGTTACCAAAGACCATGCAGCAGCCGAGAAGGATGCCTCCCACACCATCGGCAAGATTGGCCCGTATGCAGTATCCTCCTCTGGCGGCATCTCATCCGACGACCCACGCCGTACCGAGGGCAGCTACGACCAGACCATGGGCTCTGCTAAAGAAGCTGTCGGCGGCTTATTTGGTGCCGAGGGGTTAAAGAAGGAAGGCCAGCAGCAGAACGCTCAGGGAAAAGGTACAGAAGCTGAGGGCCAGCTTTCAGACTACGGCCATGGATTGAAGGACCGCGTTGGTGGTACGGTTGGAGGATTAGCTGCTGGCATTACAGGGGATAATGAGAAACAGTGAGTCTATTTTTCGTATTGGTTTTGTCTCAATTCTATCAGTTATCGGGTTTCAGGACATGTCTCGACGGGATCTTAGTCTCCGAACCTGTCTTGTAGCTTGAACCCCATCTTCAAGCAAAAATGCTGACACTGAAAAACGAAGGCAAGAACAGCAGTTGAAGCATGATGATGCTAAGACGAAGCAGAGGAGCGCTGAGCACGATATCCAGAAGCAGGCAGATGCTTAGGCGAGCGACATGGAAATGCACGCTGAGACGATGAAGGAACCTACATGAATGAATGCGGCGGGAGCGTGATACCAAGCTAGATTAGACATTGCATACGGAACCCAGAGAGCATTTGCACACAGATTCCACCTTAGGTTCACTATGCCGTGACCATTATTAGCGTCCAACTGCCGTACTAGTACATTTTCCCAGAGACGAGTAAAGAACTCCCAATATCTACCTAAACACCCGAAAGGCAACAATGTCCTCTGATGAGGACGAGAACCTTGATAATGCCATGTTTCAAGAGCCCGATGACTACTTCCAGCCCGAGAAGCCATATACACACACCGACTACACGCTGCTCTCTGGACAAAAGCTACGCCTGCGCCTCGTAGGGCACAATCCCTTGTGGGTACCTACACATGACCGACCCTTCGACTCCTCAACCGCCAAGCTGACCGACCTGCCATCCAGGGTCACTACCTCTGGAACGGCAGCCAAGTCCTCTCCACCTACCTCCAACAGCATGCCCCCACCCTAGCCCACGGTAAAACGATCCTCGAGCTAGGCGCTGGCGCTGGCCTCCCGAGCCTTGTGGCAGCCATACTCGGTGCCCAGAAGGTGGTCGTGACAGACTACCCGGATGCAGAGTTGATCGACAATCTCGCACAGAATATCGCTACCTGCTCTCTACTGCCGCAGCCTGCTACTACCGTTGCCGCCGAGGGATACCTCTGGGGCTCCTCCACCGAATCTGTCCTCGCACATCTACCGCTATCCCATCAAGGATTCGACATCCTGCTCTTAGCAGACCTCCTTTTCAATCACTCCTGCCACGACGCCCTCGCGTCAACCATCGTTGGGACGCTAGCTCGCACCCCTGACGCTCGAGCTCTGGTCTTCTTTACGCCCTACAGGCCATGGCTACTCGAGAAAGATATGGCGTTTTTCGATCTATGCAGAGACAAGGGTCTGGAGGTGGACAAAGTGGTAGAGGAGGTGATGGAGAAGGTCATGTTCGAGGAAGACAAGGGAGACGAGCTGCTGAGGAGGACAGTGTTTGGGTATGAAGTGAGGTGGAATGATTTAGTTAAGACACACCGATGAGCTGGGTCCACACCAAAACCTGGGACTGTGCTATCATTCTAGAGGCTCTCCAGATTACAATGTGACCCAAGGGTTGGCCTTTATCATAGGGTATTTTGGCAAGCTACGCGGAGACACCATCATGCAGGCTTCTAGCCCAGGGAATCAAGCGTTCCATGCTTCAAATCTTGGCTGAATGATACTCACTACTTGGATGCAACCTTCCCCTTACCGCGAGGACAGCACTTCATTTTGACCTTTCGTGAAACATGTGAAGGGCCCACAGTTACACATCATCTACCCACGCTCAGCTCTGCCCGGCTTCGTGATACTCAAATACCATCTAAGCTTTTGCCACAGCATATACGCGTTGCAGCCAAAGATATATACATCCCAACACAGCCATAGTCCAAATCAGACCAAATGAATTGCAAAATGGCAGTCCTAGCTCGGTGTATATAATCTTCCTCTCCTAACTAGCAATAATGTCTATACAGCCTTTTCATGACAACCTCGACCTTGCGTTGCATCACAGATTCAATTCTTACTCAAGCCTCCGACAATACTTACAAACCATGGGTCATAAAGGTATAAAGAACCGCAGCCAGCTAAGGACAAACGTGAGCGACTCGCTCACATTACCAAACCCCATCATCCTCCCACCAATCTTCCAAAAACCTCAGCCTCGCCTCTCCAAGTCCCGCCTCACGACCCTTCACCAAAGACACCACACACGCACCTTTAAATTCTCCCAGCCACAGGACCATTCCATTCCGAACCCTCCGACCCCGGCGACGCTGCCCCATTTCGACGACGGCAACAACAGTCGACTCCAGCAGTTATTGGAAAGAACCTGATGCGTCCTCGGTGCGCTGATCGAGCCGAGCAATCTAACATCCAGGTAGCAAGGTGGGATCGCCAGAACCAACGCCGGAATGGCCGGGGCTGCCTCC